AAAATAGACACAAAGTAATGAATATCATGTGAAATCTCAAACCACTGGGAATAAAGATTAAACTCTTATATCTTCAAGAAAAAAAATCACATAGAAAGAATAAGAATTAACATAGCATCATTCTTTTCAACAGCAATACTGAAAGCCAGAAGAGTATGGAGTAAAGCTTTCAAAATAAAGAAGTAAAATAATTTACAACTTAGAATAATAATAATAGTGAAATAAACTCCAACGCTGACAGCTGACCTTAAAAAAACAACCAGTCTGGAATGCAGCAGCAAAGAAAACTCCAGAGGAATGGCTCCAAGAAAATAAAATGGACATATGATCTGATGGGTAAAACCATACTGAGAGATTTATACATCTGCTGAAAATCTGAAAACAAATTTTTGATAGTTAAAAACAAAATATACAAAATTTTAAAAAGAGGATTATTAACTGCAAGGAAAACTTAAATTGCCATAAAAAAAAATCACAGCAAACTATGAGTCTTGAGCACAAATAATACTTGTATTTATACCATCATAGCAATAATTTTTGATTAATAAAAAATTTATCTGCCCTGGCTGGTGCAGCTCAGTGAATTGAGTACCAGCCTGCACACCAATGAGTCAAAAGTTCAATTTCCAGTCAGGGCACATACCTGGGTTGCAGGCCAGGTCTCCAGTGGGGGGCACACAAGACACAACCACACACTGATGTTTCTCTCCCTCTCTTTCTTCCTCCCTTCCCCTCTCTCTAAAAATTAATAAATAAATTATTTAAGGACAAAAAATTAAAAATTTATCTAACCACACTAGAAGGGACAAGGGAATTGAAATTTGTAAGGATTTAGATTTCTTATACCCATTTCCCAATTCTAAAAGTAGAAAACTAGTATATAATATTAAACTGAAAAATGAAGAAGTAGCATAATGAACATATTCATTGGACATATAAATATCAAAATCAGAAACAGCTAAGAATTGAAAGTGATTAGCTCTGAGGAGTGGGAATGGGAATAAAAGGATGGAGGAGAATGCTGCTTTTCAATAACAACTTTTAAGAGAGAGAATGATTTTCCTGACTCAGTACTTTTGGTCAAGATGGAGATAGAGGTAAACACACAACGCATCCTCGCACAACTACAGCAAAAATTACAACTACAAAACAAGTATCACCCAGATTCATCAGAAAATTAAGCTGTATGAAAGTCCAACAACCAAGGATTTAAAGAAGCCACATTCATCCAGACGGGTAGGAGGGATGGAGACATGCAGAGGTGTGAAGAGGTGAGAGGCACAGAGAAGTAGTGGAACAGGCGGTCATCCCACATTCACATGTAGTGGATAAAAACTGGGGGAGATACCTCAAAAGCAAGTGATCACAGCCCCAGACCAGATCACCCAGCCCAGGGTTCAAGCGCCAAGTCTCCGTAACTTCTGGCTGTAAAAATCAGTAGGGGGTTGGGACAGTGGAAGAAACTGTAGGACTCACAGAAGACTTCTCTGAAAGGCTCACAAAGGTTTCAGGACTTATGCAGACCCACCCCTCTCTGGGATTCAGCACCAGGGCAACAGCTAGAAGGGGACAAGTGGCATATGGGGAGAAAGTCAAGTGAATGGCAACAGGACATGTGCTGGCAGACAGCTTCCTTCCAAGCAAATCTCTGGAGGACAGGCAGTTGCACTGACCCCTCTCTGGGCCCTCCACCACATAGAGCCACAAAACGTGAAACAGCTTTCCATGCCCTGGCAATTACCTAAGGCTTCATCCCACACAATTTATAGGTACTTTTCTACCAAAGGCCACACTACTGAGTCAGGGAGTGAAAGCAGCTGTACCTAATACATAGAAATAAACACAGGGAAGCTGCCAAATTGAGGGACAAAGAAATATAGCCCAAATGAAAGAACAGAACAAAGCTCCAGAAAAGAACTACGCAAAATAGAGGTAAACAAACTATCACGTACAGAGTTCAAAACACTAGCTATCAGGATGCTCAAAGAACTCACTGAATACTGCAACAGCATAAAAAAAAATCCCTGGCAGAAATTAAGGTTGCATTAAGTGAAATAAAAGTCTACAAGGATCCAAAACCAGAGAGAATGAAACCAAGAATCAAATCAAGAATTTGGAACACAAGGAAGAAAAAACGTATTCAATCAGAACAACAGGAAGAAAAAAAATTTTTTTAAATGAGGAGAGGCTTAGAAAACTGCGACATCTTTAAACATACCAACATCCAAGTCATAAGGGTACCAAGAGGAAAAGGAAGAAATTGAAAAGTATTTGAAAAAATAATAAATGAAAACTTCCCTAATTTGGTGAAGGAAATAGAGATACAAATCTAGGAAGCACAGTGAGACCCAAACACTTTGGACCCAAAGACCACACCAAGGCACATCATAATTAAAATGCCAAAGGTTAAAGATAAAGAGACAATCATAAAATCTGCAAGAGAAAAGAGGAGTTAAGACTGTCAGCTGATTTCTCAAAAGAAACTTCCCAGGCTAGAAGGGACTAGCAAGCATTCAAAGTGATGAAAAGCAGAGATGTATAACCTAGGTTACTCTATCCAGCAAAGCCATCATTTAGAATGGAAGGGCAGATAAAGTACTTCCCCGACAAGGCAAAACTAATGGAATTCACCAGCACCAAGCCATTGTTATATGAAACATTAAAAAGAACTATATTATATAAGAAATAGAAGATCAAAACTATGGACATTAAAATGGCAACCAATTCAAAACTATCAACAATTGAATCTAAAAAAATCTAAGCCAACCAACAAGCAGAACAGGAACAGAATTATAGATATGAGATCATTTGGAGGGGTATCAGCAGGCAGGGGATGGGGGACAATAGGGAGAAAGTGCAGAGATTAAGAAGTACAAATTGGTAGGTACAAAATAGACACAGGGAAGTTAAGAATAGTATAGGAAATGGAGAAGCCAAAGAACTTATATGTACAATCCACAGACATGAATTAAGTGGGGGGAGAGGGGAGACGGATTTGCTGGAGGGAATGGGGGTACTAGGCAGAGGAGCATAAAGGAGGAAAAACTGGAATAGCATAGTCAGTAAATATATTTAAAAAAATGAATTTCCTTGCTGTTCTGATTATAAACAGAAATTGTTATTGTAAAACTCCATTAAATTACAGACATCCCAGTAACACCTTTTATTATCAAAAATAAGGGAGAAAGACAAAGTGATTTAATCAAAACAGGAAACTACCACACTGGCAATTTGATGACTCAGAAGACTGAAAATTTGCTTACCATTAAAAAGTAGTCTAAGTGAAAGTGTTTCAAAATCATGTCTACAACACAAGCTCAGAAGATGCTCATCATCTGTCAGACAAAAATAATCTTCTTTTTTTAAAGAGAATATCTAATAACCTAAAAAATATCAGAACTCTCAATATTTTTTCTATTTTTCAGCCCGAGTCTTTTGCTAGAAAGTAAAATGTCATGCTAATGAAATAGTCACCCAATGATAAAGATCAGAATAGTGGTTACTTTGGGAGAGAAGTACTGACTGGGATAGAGATGAAGGAGCCCACTAGAGTGCTATAAATATTTTCTATCTATCTGGATGGTGGTTCCATAGATGCACACATATATAAAGGCTTACTGGATTGCACATCTAAGATTTGTGCATTGCACTCTAAGTTACACCTCAATATAAAGAAAAAAAGATCATTGGTGAGAGGCAGCAATCTCACTATGATATTTACAGAACAAAAGTATTATAATATTATAAAGTATAAACAGAGTGACTACAAATCAAAATCTGTCTGCCTTTTATCTTCATATCTCAGTTTTATAAGCATTTCCAAAGGGTAAGGGAAACATAAAGATAAAACTCCAATAAACCCCAGGACAATCAAACTTTACCCTTAACATATCTGCAATACATTCTCTAAGTACTAAAATAAGATATACTTTATTAGTAGTAGTATTCTCCTTTGTACAAAAAGAAACTGGATTTTTTCAAGATAGAGTTAAGCAGTCTGTTTATAAAGGAGTGTGAACTAGGTATTCAGATTAAGTTAACTCTAAAGCCTCTTCCCAATTTTTAAATCCTACAACTCTAGCCTTGGTTTGTGTGGCTCTGTTGGTTGGAGTGTCTTCGTGGGTTCAATTCCCAGAAAGGGCACATGCTTCAGTTATAAGTTTGATGCTGGTGGGGGTACAAGTGAGAGGCAACCCATCAATGCTTCTCTCCCTCTCTCTCTTACCCTCCCTTCCACTTTATCTCTAAATCAAGGGGCGTGTCCTCAGATAAGGAGTTAAAAATCAATTAATGACAAAAAAATCCTACAACTTACAAATTCAAAAATGCAACCTAATTTATCATTTAATTAAACTTAATGTTTACCTTTTGATTGTTAAAAAAGACATTCTTAAAACAAAATTTTTTATCCTAATGGTTCCATACAAGATATAAACCCATCCCTCAAATTTACTGTAACTTGCCCTTTTGGTATATCATAGGTTTTTATACCACTGCACTAGATAATTCTCAGCACAGTGCTTAATGATATCATTACCTTATTGATATGTCTAAAAAAAATCTGCAACATATTTTAGCATAAGATTACACTTCCCAGAATTTTTGGTATATAACAAAATTTTTAGAGAATTCTGACCTGACATTAATTTTTAAATGTATCATAAAAAATAATTTAAATGTATTTTTTTCCTTGAAACAAAATATTCAAAAAATTAACTCTGTAATTTATTTTTAAAGAGTATTATATATTTATTATAGAAAGGAAAATGGAGGGAGAAAGAGAAGAAGAGAAACATCAATGTGTGGTTCCCTCTCGTGCACCTCCTACTAAGGATCTGGCCTGCAACCTAGGCCATGTGCCCTGACCAGGAACCAAACCAACAACCTTTCAGTTAGCAGGTCGGTACTCAATCCACTGAGCCACACCAGTGAGGGCTGAAATTCCTAATTTTGTAAATTCACTAACTTCTTCTCCATTTCTAGACCCAGTAAAACCTCACCTTGCTCAAAGCATACAGATCCAAGATTTTCCTCTCCACCACAGGAATCTTCAAAGTAGATCCTTGAAGTTCCCAAAATTTTGCCAGTTGATCCAGGAAGTCCAGTCTCACTCTGGTCATTGCCTAAGATTATTAAAATGCAGAAATCAGAAATAAGAACTACATTATAGTTGAAAATAAATGTGTATTACTTAACATAAGTACTAGTTTCTCTAAAGAAATTTAGACTTTTCATTATTGTTCAGTCCAATGCTGTACAGTAAGCTAATAATAAAGTAAAATATTTCTAACAGATATTATTTATTAAGGCAAAAGATTACTGTAATATATGTGAACAATTCTCATATTATCAACCAAAGCAATTTTTTGGATGAAGTTGGCTTAAGCTTAAGCTAACCAGAAAATATGGTAGATCAAATTAATCTGTTTCTAAGTATTCTGCCATTTGATCTGTAGATAACATGCATATTTAAAGTACACCAACTGTGTACCTCACTGATATCAAGATCCTTCATCACGTTATCTGATTACAAGAGACTAAAGAAAAAAGACCTATAGTATAAATCTCAGAAAATGTTTTAGGAGAATCAAGGAAAAAACAGTCTCAGTATGACATATTAAACCTTAGCTAAGACATCTCTTTTGCATGCTGAAATAGTTTTCTACCACACTAAAGATCTTCTGAAAATCTTGAAGAATAACTATTTTTAAATAGAGAGATTAGTCAAATTTAAAGGGGAATCTTAATAAATCAGATTAACTTAAGATTTTAATTAAAATTTTATTTTCCTAAAAACCTGAACCAATCTCCCCTAAGAAAACTCTGAAAACTAGGGTTTTTTGGATAGAATTTAATAAACTATTTTCCAAAGACCATAGGAGACAATCTTCCAACATCAACAAAAAAATTTAGCAAAATAATAAGTATTAAAGAAAAGTACAGGGCAAGACAACAAACAAGGTTATCAAGTTCCCACCAAGAGGGAGACATAAGTAGAAACCTTATGCTTCCTCACACAACCAAAAGGACAACAACCAATCTAAAAACAATAAACAACCAGAACTGCGAGAAAATCAAACTGCATAGAACTCCAACAACCAAGGAGTTATAGGAAACATTCACCCAAACCGGTAGGAGTGGAGACAGAAGAAAGGCAGACATGCAGAGAGCATGCAGCAAGGGGGCAGAACACTCGGGCAAGGTGGGGCTCACTGAACAGGAAAACTGAATACTCAAAGCTCGCTGTAAACTACTGTGAGGGATGCCACGACAGGAGAAATTCCCATCACACACCAGAGAGTTTGTTGGAAAGTGAGGCTAGAGCAGAGCAAGCCAGGAGTATTGTCCCCTCTCTAACCCCTGCCCCACAGACAGAGCAGCAAAGACGGTTGCCCCACCCTTGTGAATACCTAAGGCTCCACCCCTTACAACATAACAGGTACATCGACAAAGAAATATGGCCCAAATGAAAGAACAGATCGAAGCTCCAGAAAAAGAGCAAAGTGACAAGGAGATAGCTAACCTATCTGATGCAGAGTTCAAAACACTGATAATCAGGATGCTCACAGAAATGATTAACATCAGTCGCAAAATGAAGGAACAAATGAAAGATACCCAAGGTGAAATCAAGGAAAACATACAGGGAACCAACAGTAAAGGGAAGGAAACCAGGACTCAAATCAATGATTTGGAACAAAAGGCAGAAAAAAACATTCAACCAGAACAGAATGAACAAATAAGAATTCAAAAAAATGAGGAGGCTTAGGAACCTCTGAGACAACTTTAAGCACTCTAACATCAGAATCATAGGGGTGCCAGAAGAAGAACAAGATCGAGAAATTGAAAACTTACTGGAACAAACAGTAAAGGAAAACTTCCCCAATCTGGTGAAGGAAATAGACTTCCAGAAAGTTCAGGAAGCCCAGAAAGTTCCAATGAAATTGGACCCACACAGGAACACACCAAGGCACATCATCATTAAGTCACCCAAGATTAAAGATAAAGAGAGAATCTTAAAAGCAGCAAAAGGAAAGGAGTTACCTCCAAAGGAGTGTCCATAAGACTATCAGCTGATTTCTCAAAAGAAACCTTGTAGGCATTGAAAGGGTTGGAAAGAAGTATTCCAAGTCATGAAAGGCAAGGACCTACATCCAAGATGACTCTATCCAGCAAAGCTCTCATTTAAAATGGAAGGGCAGACAAAGTGCTTCCCAGATAAGGTCAAGTTCAAGGAGTTTATCATCACCAAACCCTCATTATATGAAATGTTAAAAGGACTTATCACAAGTTGTGCTGAACTCACAACTATCAACAACTGAATCTAAAAAACAAAAACTAAGCAAACAACTAGAACAGGAACAGAACCAGAGAAATGGAGATCACATGAAGGGTTTTCAGTGGGGGGATTGGGAGGTGAAAGGTACAGGGAATAAGAAACATAATTGGTAGGTACAAAATAGACAGGGGGAGGTTAAGAATGATATAGAAAACAGAGAAGCCAAACAACTTATATGTACAACCCATGGACATGCACTAAGGCGGGGAATGTGAGGAATGCTGGAGGGAACAAGAGTTCCAGGTCTCTGAAGGTACCTAAGCTGGATATTTCAACCATGAAAAATATGGCTAGAGGTAGTTTCCCATAATCTCAGTTAAGTAGAAACACTGTAATAACTACTTAAAACAATTGTTTTTAAATCAGAAACTTCCTTCCATTCAGTCCCAATTAATGTCAACTCTGAGATCTGATACACGAACTTCTCAAAGTTCTCTATCAAGAGCCCTGACATAAAAAATAAATCAGGAAGTAGCAATGGTGATATAATACTCACCTCAAGTTCATTCAGGCGCTGGACTCTGGGTGTGAAACGAAAGCTTTTCACTTCACACGCAAATGGCGGTTGCCAATCCTAAATGGAAAGATTTTTTTTAATAGTATACTGGTATATAAGCAAGGAATGCATTATTCCTTCCCTTCATTTATATTCATTGAGTTGTCACAAATCATGATGACAAGAAAACAACTAACAAGTCTTCAGTATATTCTAGAATGAAAAAATAATACTTAGATAAAATATTGCTTATCTCCAATTATTTATCTCTAAATAATTTTATTTATAAATCCTCAAATCCCACAAGTACTATTTTTATACCTCTCAATTATGCTTTGCCCAATTAATCAAGTAGAATGCAGTGAACATGTATCTCAATACGTCTAATAAACATCAAGTTTGAAAATTAAAAAGAAAACAGAATTTGAAAGAAACAAAGGGTACAATTAAAAAGTGATTTTTTAAACTACTTATATAATTGGGTAATACGTTTTTTTATTCATGTGTAATGTGACACACAGCACTTTACAGTCTATGTGACATAAATGTTTTGTTCGAAGCCCAGCTCTTGGAATCAAAAAAAAAAAAAAAGTAAGTAAACCCACAGAACAAGAATATTTTCCAGACTGCAGATGCAGATATAGTATAACTAAATGAGATAGCATATTGCAAGAATGGTTCTAGAGAACACAGTTTAATTTGGCCTAAATACCATGGTTTACCAAGTATATACACACTTTTTTGCCCAAATTTTTAAGAGAAAAATAAAGATATGCATTATATATGGGTAGTACCTGAAATACTTTGAATCTGTTCCTGTGTTTCATAATCATTTATTACACAAAATTTCTTATACCATAATATGTTAAAAAATAAATGCTAAAATTCCTTTATAATACAAAAACAAGTACCTAAATATAAATATATAATTGAATTAAAAAATTAAAATGGACAATTTTTTTCCCCTGTAAGTTTGGGCCACAAACATGGATGTGCATTATACATGGGAGCACATTATACATGGCAAAATATGGTAATAGTAAATCTATTTAAAAACCTGAGTAATCAAAAATTTTTATCCTACCTTGTAAAGAAATCCACCACTATTGTAATTAAATTAATTGAAAATAAATTTTCAATGGTGTGGCATAAAAAGGGAAGGTGTATTACTTCAACCTCCTTTTAAGTAATAAAAATCAACTTTTTTACCAAAAGGAACCTTAAAGAGAATTTCTCATTCATAAAGGCAATAGAGTAAATGAAAATATGGTTTACAAAAAACTTCAGTGCTTAAGGTTTCATCAGTACTAGCTAATTTTGATAGAAAAAGACTTAACTGAAGCTTCTGGAGGATGGCAGTGCATATAATCATAACTCATCATAGCAATTATGTGATAATGCTTTGCTTTCAATTTATAGTCTATAATCTGTTTTATTTGTATTTATTTTTATTTTGAGAGAGGAGAAGGGAGGGAGAAAGAGGAGGAGAAACATTTAAGTACAAGGAATACATAGAAAGGTTGCCTCTCAAACACCCCCAACTGGGGACCTGGCCCACAACCCAGGCATGGGCCCTGACTGGGAATCCAACCAGACAACTTTCGGTTCTCAGGCTGGCACTCAATCCACTGAGCCACAGAAGCCAGGGCAACAGTCTGTAATCTTAACCAAAATCATTTTGCATAATGGGCGTAGCATGTCAGGGCTTTAGAAACAAACGTTTCTATCTAGGTTCTTAATCTACTTTGCCACTTGCCCAAAATAACACATTTGATATAAGTTACTTAACTTACCCAGACTTGCCTCATCTGTAAAATAAGACTTTATTTATCTAGTAAGGCTTCTAACTATATTAACTGAAATAATCTGTAGGTGCTAAATTAGTTCCTCCCTCTTCCCTCCCAACTCTTTATTCACTGTGGTGCACACACTACGGTAGTCTTCAGTGAGAACAAATGCTTTTTAAAACACAATACAAGTAACAGTACTCAACGTTTTACTTGTATTACTAGTAGACCAAACATAAAGCAAGGCGTCCCTTTCAACAAGCACTAAGGCAATGGTTCACAAACTTAAATATGCATTAACAATCATCTGTGAGTACTTGCTAGAAAAGCTGAATCTAGATCTCCCACATACAGAAACTGATTCTAGTCTGGGAACGGGGCCTAGGGATCTGCATTTTAACGAGCATACTGTTGACCCTGGTGCAGGTGGACCACTAATATCATTTGAGAAGCTGTGGTCTAAAGAATCTTTTGACCTTGAACAAATCACTCGGTGTCTTGGGGCACTAATTTCCCCAAACAAAAGGTAGTATTTGCTTTTTTTACCTTAAAGACTGAGGTAATTAACCTATAAACAAACCCAGTTATTTGCAATAATTGTGATTCATAAATCTTTCATTCACCGTTCCTTATATCAAGTGATTTCAACGTTTTCTTCCACATCAATCATTAATAAATCCTTCCTAATCCTTTATGTTTTAAAAATAAATGCTGCTCTTCCTCTTCCCCTGGGAAGACTATCATTTCAGCAGTAATCTGTCTAGGGTTCTTTTTTGGTGATACCATCCTTGGGGACAACTAGAGCTCAGATTACTGTTTAAGAAATCTTAGTCCTCAGATGAGGCCTGCAAATATTTAGTAAATAAAGCATTAATAGGGCCTGGATAAAGAAATAACCAATGGAGGGCAATTTTTACTACCGTAATAAGGATGGTACATGAGTGTAGGACATGTCATGCCATAATACTTAAAACACTTTGTCAATAAGAGGCCTAACGCCTTTTGTTACCCTTGTCCACAATCCAAGAAGAAAAGTGTCAGTCCCCAAGTTTTAAAGGGGAAGGCCCCAGGAACAACACTCTCGCGTTCAGACAAGCGTACCTAAGACCGCAAAAGAAATCAAGGCAAAAGCATCCAAAAAATATATCTCCTAGCGACTGAGAAATAAAGGAAACTAAATATAAAAAGAGAGAAGGACTGGAAGAGTAAAACTACACCGAGTCCCCATTCTCTTCTTCCATCTCCTCAGACGCCGGTACCTTGGGCGGTCGGATTTTGCAGATGCCGGTTTTCTCTGCCAGAGGCCGGATGCGGCCGATAAAGCTGAGCGGGTCTGTGAACTCCTCCCAGCTGGGCTCAAAGACTGGGCACTCCGGCGGTGGCACGAACTCCGACGCGTAGCCCCCGGACCCCACGCCCGCCATGGCAATACCCTGAGGGCCCCCGTGAGGCAAACAGGTGGAAAAGGGTAAAGCCCTCCGAACTCTTTCACACCCCCTGACGAGGGCCGAAGCTCATCTTCTTGGGCAAAAACTAAACAACACAGAAACCCCGTAATCGCTTCCTCCTTTCGTTTGTTATTGTTTCCTTCGGGGCTTTTCCTCAGGACTAGGACCTGCCCGGAAGTTGACGTACAGTCAAATCCATCCGCCGCCCCAAGAATAGAATCCTTCCGCAGCAATACGACGCCTCGTTGTACAACCTTCCTTCTTCCTCCCTTTCCCAGCAACTCAGTGTTCCTAGTCTTCTTGTCTGTGAAGGTTTCCACGCTGTCCGACAACTTCAACTGAAACACCCTGGAGGTCTCTGAGCTCTCCTTGGCCGGAGGGGGGCGGGGGGGGGGGTCGAGAAGCGGTCAGGTTTGAGATCGGACGCACTCTTCCGGCACAGAGGAATGCGTAATGCTGCAGGGGGCAAAGGTTCTGCTTCCGTTGTGTGGAGGCCGGAGAGGAAGTGCAGTTCCCTTTTGTGTTTAAATGGGCGGAAGAATAGACTGAGCTTAATCTCGGCCACCTCACCTAGCTGTCGGTTAATGGCAGGCTGCTGTAACTTTTTCCGTTTCTCTTGTTTTTAGTCCTTTGTTAGTGATTCTTATGACAATCTCGGCCACTTTATATCCGCCCCTCACCATGACTGGTTCGACTGGAACCCGTTCCCCAAGTCCTGCCGCCTGGCAGACTTGGTTTGATTTTTATCCACGTGGAAGCAAAGGCTCCTGATCTTGCTTTTCCAACTGTTGACTTGCTTTTCCCAAGTCATATGAATAGCAACCACTTTGGCACTACATAATCTTTTCTCAATTTACTGTAAAAGCTATGGCAATTCTTCAGACCCTGTTTGTCAAAAATCTGTGTATCTGTGTCTATCTCTACTTCCTCCAAATTGAAGACAATAATGTAGAAATGACTAAAATCGTGAGAGTGTGTTCTTATTAAATATTTGTTGGAAGTTTCTTATACTCTGATAAAGTCTCAATACCCTCACTGATGTTAATCTGATCTGCAGATAAAATCAAAACAAAAATTTTATGGGAAGGAAGTCTTACTTCCCAGGGCTGGTTCATATACTCCTTATGTACTCTCAGCTTCCACCAGGGCCTAAATTGCCCTTCCATCAGCGATGGCTGATGACTCCCAAATCTGTATTTCCAGCTTAGACTTCTCTTTTGAATTATATCTACTCATTGGACAACTCCACTTGGTAAACTTATAAGTACCTTGAACTCATGGTTAGTTTCCCACTGTTTTTTCAGTGTTACCAGTTTCCACAAATGACTTCTTCCATCTCTCAGTTGCCTAAGCCAGAAGTCTAAAAATAATCCTTAACTCCTGCTTCTTTATTACCAATATATAGCTGTGCGTCAATGGAGATTCTATCATCTAAAAATCTTAAATCCACCCATGTCTCTCCATCCCTATTATTACTCTCCCAATTTAAGTTCTTTCTCATCTGAACTATGATAACAGCTCAGTTTTTGCTCCTGTCAAATCCCTTTCTACTCAGCTGCCATATTATGTTGTCTAAAAGTGATATCGTCATTTTTCTTCTCCGTTTCAATAACTCCTTTACTTTGCTGCCCTACTCCTAAGCTTCATCTCTTAAAGCTTTTCAATATACTACACAGACATTTTTGTGGTGGTTTTAATGCACCATGCTTTCACCTTTGAGGCTTCACAGATATTGTATCCTTTGTTTGAACATATTTATTATCTCCTGAACCACCCCACAGTTTCCTATATCCCCTTTCTGAATGAATTTCTATTCATCCATCAGCTCAAAGATCACTTCCTCCAGAAAGCCTTCCCTAATGCTCTACGTTTGTTTGGTCAGCAGTAATCTGTACTTTCTTAAACTTTTTAAAATCACTTGTTTAATTGCTTTCTTCCCAGACCATAAGCTATATGAAGACAGGGGCAGTGTGTCTTATTGATATTTTAGCCCCAGCTCCTAGAATATTGCTTAGTGTTTGGAATAAGTGCAATAAATATCTGTTGAGTTAATTAATTAATGAAGTAATAGCTTGACCCAATAAATTTGCCTTGTGTTTCATTGCCTCATCCTACATTTACAAACAATAAATTTTATTTCAGACTCTTTTAGGATGTGATAAACATAATATTCCTCCATTTGATTATAATATCCACAAAAGTTGATGCCCAGTTACCCATACCCACCAGTCTAAACTCCATACACAAATACTTGAGAAGATAGTTCTGTTTCAGGTAGCCTGTGCTGTGTAACAAACTACCTCAATACTTCATAGCTGAAAATGAAAACTTTATTATTACAATTCTTTGGTTTGTCAATCTGGTGTTCTGATAACTTGACCTGGGGTCACTAATATAGCTACAGTCATCTGACTGGATAGTCAAATGGCTGGACTGGAGTTGGAGGATCCAAAATGATCTCACATGTCTCACAGCTGGTGCTGGCTGTTGGCTGGGAAGCCTCAGTTCACATGACTTCTCATCCTTTTTTATTTTAATACTCACTCAAGAATATGTTTTTAATGATCTGAAGGAGAGAGGAAGGGAGACAGAATCGCTGATTGATCACCTTCCCCATGCCCCCTGACCAGGTATAGAACCCACAACCTTTTGATGCACAAGATGACACTCCAGCCAACTGAGCCACCCAACAAAGGCTGACTTCTCATTCTCAGTAGGATACACAGGGCCTTTTCACAGCATGGCAGTCTTAGTATTCCAGAACTGTAAGAGTGGAAGCCTAGGCCTGAAGTCTAGACTCCAAAATATACAAAATAACATCTATGGCGTTCTATTAGTGAAAGCTAGTCATAAGGCAAAACCTGATTCAAGAGGGTGGTAAAACTCCTTTTCTGGACAGGAAGAGCAACAATGTTACATTGCAAAGAGGTATAGAGAAATAAAAAGGTGATTCATTGCATACAATTATGATGATTTACAACAAAATTTGAGATTTTTTACTACTTAAATCTGGACAATCATATTATTCACAGAAAAGAGAAATAATGGAATTCTGTACAACAGGTGACATTGAAATAATTCATTTTATTAAACATTGAATGAAAATATAACAGTTTTGCTTTAGCATTATTAGAGCAGCAAGGCCATGATAAATCCTCAGTGTAAGCATAAACTCCCTGCCCAGGCTGGTGTGGCTCAGTGGATTGAGTGCCAGCCTGTGGGCCAAAAGGTTGCCAGTTTGATTTCAAGTTGGGGCACATACCTGAGTTGCACGCTGGGTCTCCAGTAGGGCATATGTGAGAGGCAACCACATGGTGGTGTTTCTCACCCTTTTTCCCTCCCTTCCTTTCTTTCTAAAAATAAATAAATAAAATCTTTAAAAACAAAAAAGCATAAACTCCCAAAAGTTTTTATTGTTCCTGTTTATATTCTGATAGTCTTTCAAGTTATAGTTACCTATTTTTTAACTACCTCCTTAGTAGAATATAAAATTATAGAGTAATTCTCAATCATTTTTATTTGCATTGTTAATTCTGAGAAACAGTCCTTCACACTAGCAGTGAAGCTGTAAGAGAAGGGCAGTAAATACCTCTGTTAGAGATGGGAAAATCTTCCCCAGTTATACCCACCTCTGATTCTGAGGCTCCTCTCAAGGAGGGTAAATAAACTCTACCCTCACCCCTCATGCCCACCCGTTCACAAATCAGTATTGTAAAGATCCTATTGTAAAGAAATGACTACAAGGGCATTCTGCACACAGGAAATTAAATGCACCGTCAATAGTATTTGGGTCTCTGGGACGATGGTAATAGAATAAACAAGAATTTAAAAAGTAGTATTCAGGTCTCTTGGTAGAGAGTTGAGTATAAGTGTAGTTTAAATGTGTTGTTTTCATTATTTTAATAGCTCTTGAAATTAACCTTTCAGAGAATAAATAAATAATATTAAAATATTATGCATTTATCTAAAATTGACTATTCTTAGCCCTGGCTAGTAAATTGAGCGTGGGCCTGCAAACCAAAGGATTGCAGTTTAATTCCCAGTCAGGGCACATACCTGGGTTGCAGGCCAGTTTCCAGCAGGGGATACATGAGAGGCAACCATACACTGATAAAACAAATACTTAAAATGAATACTTTGAATACTTGATGTGTTATTTTCATTATTTTAATAGCTCTTGAAATTAATCTTTCAGAGAAAAAATAAATAACATTAGAATATTATATATTTATCTAAAATGGACTATTCTTACCCCTGGCTGGTATAGCTCAGTGGATTGAGTGCAGGCCTGCTAACCAAAGGGTCACCAGTTTGACTCCCAGTCAGGGCACATCCCTGGGCTGTGGGCCAGTTCCCCCACCCCGCTTGGGGACAAGTGAAGGGAAACCACACATTGATGTTTCTCTCCCTCTCTTTCTCCTTCCCTTTCCCTCTCTCTAAAAACATTAATAAATAAACTCTTTTAAAAATAAAATAATAAATACCATATTAGTTTAAATATAGTTTACCAGTGGTTCTCAAACTTTTTGGTCTCAGGACCCTTTTACACTCTTAAAAATTACTGAGAACCCTAAAATGATCTTGTTTATATGGATTATATTCTATAGACATTTACTATATTAGTAATTTAAGGTAAAAAGTGTTTAAAATTGCACAGGAAACCAATAGCGATGAAAAGGAAACTGGGACTCAAATCAATGGAGTGGACCAGAAGAAAGGAAATAATGGCCAAACAGAAAAGAGTCAAGAAGCAAGAATTCAAAAAAATGAGGAGAGTCTTAGGAACCTCCAGGACATCTTTAAACGCTCCAACATCTGAATTATAGGGGTACCAGGAGGGGGAAAGGAACAGCCACCAGTGGAACACTTATTTGAACGAATAATAAAGGAGAATTTCCCCAATCTGGCAAAGGAAATAGATTTCCAGGAAATCCAGGAAGCTCAGAGAAGCCCAAAGAAGTTGGACCCAAGAAGAAACACGCCAAGGCACATCATCATTACATTAGCCAAGATTAAAATGAAGGAGAGAATCCTAGAAGCAGCAAGAGCTAAGGGGACAGTCACCTACAAAGGAGTCCCCATCAGACTGGCAGCGGATTTCTCAAAAGAGACCTTACAGGTAAGAAGGGGCTGGAAAGAAGTATTCCAAGTCATGAAATCCAAAGACCTACATCCAAGATTGCTCTACCCAGCAAAGTTTTCATTTAGAATGGAAGGACAAATAAAGTGCTTCTCAAATAAGGTCAAGTTAAAGGAGTTCATCATCACCAAGCCCTTATTATATGAAATGTTAAAGGGACTTATCTAAGAAAAAGAAGTTAAAAAAAAAACATGAACAGTGAAAGAACAGCAAACTCACAGTTAGTAACAACCACACCTAAAAC